GAGATAACACGCTCCAGCTCCCGGGGGGCCTTCTCCCTTCCTGCTTATCTTCAGTGTCTGGGACACAGCCCCACAGAGAGCACAAAGGAAAACCCAAAGACCAACACAGTGGTGCACGTCTGTAATCCCAGGGAGGCTAGGCAGGAATGTCACAAGTCTGTCCCAGCATGGACTACTAAGTGACTTAGACAGACGCTGTCTCAAATAAAAATTGTAAAAAGAACCTGGGGATGGAGCTCAGTGCAAAGGCCCTAGCTCATTCCCTAGTATCCACCCTTCAGAAGAAGCATTGAAAAGTGGTGGTGCACGCCTGTCATCCCAGCACTCGGGAGGCTGAGGTGGGAGAATCAAGTTTGAGACCAGCCTGGTCTACAAAGTGAGCTCAGGGCCAGCCTGAACTGTGTAGTGAGACCCTGTCTCAAAAAGACAAAAAAAAAAGCACTAACAAGAGAACAGAAGATGGAACCACGGAGCCACTGAATGAATGAATGAGCAAATTTTCAGAGAGGCAAAACGGGAGCTGCCCTCACCCAGTTTTTCACCCTCCTTGTGTGTGGTCCTGGCTGCTTAATATCCTGCAAAGAACAAGTGCCACCTGTGTGGTGCAGAAAACAAAACCCGAGTCGGGTGTCACCCAGCGCCACAAACACCTGCCCGGCAAGCGCAAGGTCCTGAGTTCAATTCCAGATACGAAAAAATAAACCCAACTTCACAGGCAGCCGGGGACCCCACCCATCACCCCACATGATCAGGAGCTCTTTGCTGCTGACTAGTCACTCCTGCGGAGTCTGGCGAGCAACACTTGCCCTCTGCCAGCTCCCAAGCTCTGTCTGGGGACCCCTGGGTACTCTGGTGGCCGGGCCAGCTCCTGTCCCTGCCACCCTCTCCTCACCTCCCACCTGTGGGGCCTGGGACCACAGGTACTCAATTGCACAGACAAAATGATGGTCACAGCTACAGGCCCTGCCTCCTTCAACTGTCCCATGGAGTCCACAGCAGGAGAAGGTCCTGGGGACTTGGGGACTTGGGAACCTCAAGCCTCCTGAAGGCTGGGCTCTGAGCTGGGCTGTCAACACCGCCCAAGCCCTCCCTGCCAGGTTGAGCCCTGGGCACTAGGGGCCAGCAATGGTGCGGCAGACCCAGGCCCAGGGTCATGCATGCCCACGGGGGGGGAGGGTCACAGGCAAGTGCCTGCTGGCCTGAGGTCAGGGGCATGTGCAGAAAGCACTACGTCATGCAGCGCCACCAAGGCAAGATCAGGTCCATCAAGAGTATCAACATTCTATACATAAAAACATTTGTAAAGTCATAAGGGCTGCCGGTGAGCACACAGCCCATGACACCTGAGAAACATGATGGCTCCCCGCCCTTCTAGCCCCCTCCAGAGGCAGATGCCCGCAGAGGAAGAGACACATCTGCTTGGGCGGCACTGGGAGAGAGGTTGTGGGATGCGAACCAGACCCCAGGGTCGGGCAGGTGACAGAAAGAAGGCACAGGGTGGGGGGAGGACATCTATGTAGGTGGCACCCACGGCTGGTTGTGTGCAGGTATGTGTAGGAGGACCACTGACAGCCCTGCTAGCATACTGGGAAGCAGGGACCCACATTCTGCCCCACAGGACCTGATAAAAGGGGTCCCCAGCAGTGAGCAGAGGACACACACAACAAGATAGCCAGGACTAAGACGTGCAGCAACTTCAGGCAGGCTCAGAGACTGGGGTTCAATCCCCGGCATGCTGTGCAGGCCCCGCCCCTGGGATGCGCTGAAACAGTGATTGAGACTGGGTGTGGTGGTGCTTGCCTATAATCCCAGTGCTTGGGAGGCTGCAAACGGGGATCACTATGAGTTCTATGGGTGCAGTGGGAGAGTCCCTGAAGACCCTGTACTATAGAAATACATAAAAAAAAAAAGAAGTGCAGCAAGGAGGCCGGGGTGATGCATGTCACTGGAGTGCACCCTTCTCCCAAGAGCAGTGCTCACTTCTCCCCAGTCTGCTCCTGCCCTGGAGCTGGCCTGGGACCCAGCCCCAGCCACCAGTCTTGGCACTGCTCCAGGGGCTGGTACATGTCCTCAGCCAGGCCAGCCAGTGGGTCTAGGACCCCTGAAATTCCTGGCAAAGAAGCCACCACTTCTCTTCCAGAATGCTCTGCCCAGGAGCTGCTCCTGCGGTGGTTGGGTCCATCCGAGTCTCTGCTGAAGGACAGCCCTCCGGGAGGATGGAGGAGCAGAAGTCCTGGGGACAGTAACTTCCCTGGCCACAGTCTCTGCCTCCATGAACCTGCACAAGGCTCCTCCTACTGCACTCCAAAGGTCCGTGGGGGCCCACATGCCCTGAGCAGAGTCAGAGCCGAGGACAAGACCATGGCCTCGAGGTCAGCAAGGAAGGAAGGAGCTGGGCGGGCCTGGCACAGGGAAGAGGCCTGCACAGACAGGAACAGGAGGAGCAGGCAGCAGAAGCCAGCCTGGGGAGGGAGGCGAACTGCTGTGATCCCAGCACTTGGGGGGGGCGGGGGGTGGTGAGGCAGGACTGAGCCCAGCCGGGGAATCTCAGCAATTTAACAGGATCCTCTCTCAAAACTTAAAAAAAAAAAAAAAAAATGGGGGCAGGGCAGGGATGTAGTTCAGTGGTACAGTGCAATCACAAGGTCCTGAGTTTGATTCCTGATGCAAAAAAAAAAAAAAAATTTGCAAGCGCAGGGGGATGTGGTTCAGTGTGAAGGCCTAAGCTCCACCCCCAGTAGAGGGGCCCTAAAAGCGCTAGGGCCTCAGAGGAAAGGCTTGAGAGCTGGGGGTTTCTAGAGCCCAAGAACTCCCCCACCCAGTTTCCCAGGGGGAGGTCGGGGCAGTCCGGGCAGCTTGCGGTTGCACACTAGTGAGCTGTTCGGGTCCTGGTGTTGCCTCAGGGTCCTGCCTGCATCACCAGTGAGCAAGCATGTTACTCACAGTCGGCAGATAACCAACCCCACAGGCGGTGAGAGCCCTAACCACTTCCTGAAGGGTTGGCCTGAAACCACCTGCCTGAGTTCAAGTCCAGGCTCTGCCACTTCCCAGCTGTCTGACCACAGAGAAGCCACTCACCTCTCTGGGCCTCAGTTTCCACACCTGCAGAAGGGGAACAATTTCAGTCCTGCCCATAGAACTGACAGGGAAGGGGTGAGGGCAAGAAGAAGTTCCTAGCCACAATACCAAGCCTGTGGTCCCTGGGTTATGGAGACACAGCAGAGCAAGGAACAGGCTCTTCCGAGAGGAACAAAAGCAGACAGCAACCAGAACTCGCCTGCGCATTTCCCACCAGATGGCTGGGGAGAGGAATCAGACTTCAGCTGAAGCACAGAGCACTGGATGCCACGGCCCATTTCCCAGTCCCACAAGCAGCAGGAAAGCGTCTCTAGCTCCATCTGGCATCCCTAACCAGCATCCCCAGTCCCCTCGTCCTGTCCGGTCTCTGCAGAAGGTGTGGAGTCTGAGCTGAGCGCCACAGGGGCCCCAGGAAGGAAGTGCTCTCTGGCCAACGCAGAAGGCCAGGCGCATCTGCTGGACGCCCGCAGGCAGGATGCTCTTTCTTCCTCGGTCACCTTCTCCCACTGGGGGACAAACAATGGCCTCAGAGGCAGAGCACAGTGCCTGCTACCGGGGGAGGGGCGAAGGGCACGGCGGAGGAGGGCCGCAAAGCAGCTTCAGCCAGCAAAATACTGCTGAGTCTCTCGGCTGCAGAAGCCGAAACTCAGAGACCGCATCGTATGGGGCCGCTTGCAAAAGCATTTGCAGCAAAGGTGGAGGAGTTGAGTGCCGGACCTCCTGCTGCTGAGCCACAGGCCCACACGCCAATCCCTACCTGACTCTCACACCGCCCCTCCAGCCTCTCCAAGGAGACACTGCCTATTGCTTTGCACTTCAATATTTTAAGCAAATTAATCACAAAGGTGATGAATGTCTAGAGACAACTTTCCAGGGAAAATTTTAGTTAGAACATTTACACACACAGACATACACAAAATACTACTTGTGCACAAATCTTAGTACAACACAGCATATAGGAGACCCTTAATACATACCTTTCGAAATGAACAAAATGCATTAGATAATTTGTCTAAGAAAGCGGCTAGAGAAGTCACCCTAGCAAAATTCTGGACATCACAAGCAATCCTGTTGCCAGCAGAGGCCTTAAGCACAGTGACTCAATCCCAGGACAGCACCATGAGGTTACAGGTGAGAAAACCCAGGTCCCTAGGGACTCAGTGACTTCTCCCTACCTACACAGGCAGGAAGAAGAGACTCCAGGACTCACACCCATACGATTTGGTGCACAGCCCACGCCCTAGCCTCCAGCCCAGGCTGCCTTTGTCTTCTACACAGGACCAGAGGGCAAGGAAGCCACATTCCCCAGCTCCCTCCGGTCCCCTGACCCACAGGTCAACCCCTTCCCCGAGTTGAGGGCTCCAAGCTCCTGGCTTCTGGCTTCCAACGGATACTATCTTCAGTACAGGGTTCAATGATTCCCTACTTAGGTACGCACCTGTGTGACCCTGGCCAGCTCAAACCTTGGGACACTCCCAGCAGCCTTTTGCACCCCAACCCTGCCGGCGACTATCTCCCCAAAGGTGCAGCTCTTCTGACTTTTCTTACTACAGAGCCGCATTACCTTCTCTAGAATTTCAAAGAAATGAAATCCGATGGCATACCATCTTTTGTGTCTTGCTCTGTATTCTTCGAAGCACAAGTACATAATCAGAACCCGGAGGATTGTCAGAGAAAGGAGGGTGGGGCTGAGCGGTTCTTTCTCTGGCAAGCAGCCCCCCGGGGGGCTTTGATGTTAGCTCAGGAACCCATCCCAGGGGGCCGCGGGCACGGTCGGCACTGGACTGTAGAGCGGACCCTGGAAAATCAGTGACCGCAGGGAGGAAGGAGCTGGCTTGCCTGGAGCCCAGGGTCACTTCTGCGGGCCCGGCGCAGCGTCCTGAGCTCGGACGGGGTCCCTCGTGAGTCGCGCAGCTCCCTACCTGTGCATTGCTGGATGAAGTGCTGGTACTCCGAGCCCTGCTCGCCGGGGACGATGGTGGCGCCCTCGTATCTGAAAGTCACCCTTTGGGTTGAGAGAAGAAAAGACACACGTGAGCGCCGGGCGGCAGGGGCAGGCCCCGGAGAGGTGAGGGCGGCTGCGGCGGCGGCGGCGGGTCTGCTCACCAGATGACCGCCGAACCGTCGTCGCGCACCCGGTTGTACGCCTCGCGGCACGCCTCCTTATCAATCTTAGTGGCCATCGCCGGGGACTCTGCCCCGAGCGGCCGAGCGCGCCCCGGGCCGGCTGCAGGGACAGAGCGCGGCGGGGACGCGCGGAGGGCGGCGGCGACTGCGACGCGGGAACCGAGAGCTCGGAGCGCGGCCGCGGTTCTGACTGCCGGCGGGCGCGCGCCGGGACCCCAGGCTGCTGTCCACCCCGCCCCACTGCCCCCATTGGTCGTCCGCGCCGCGGTCCGCCCCGCCCCCCTTCGGCATTGGTCTGTACATCTCAGGGGCGTGGCGTAGTGACTCTCTAGTAGCCAATCCCTGCCACAGTGGGTTGCGCAAATCCTTAGAGGGAGCCGGAGTCCGGGTTTTCCCCGCCCTCCCTTCCCGCCCTCCTCACCCCTCCCCGCCTTGCACACCACACTCTTTGCTCTCCTTCCCTTCCTCTTCCTCCCCTCCCCCTCCTCTTCTCCCCCTTCCTTTTTCTCGCCCCCCCCACTCCCACCCCCTCCTGGATTCTCCTCCCTGGACTCCTTTTCCTACTCCCGACCCATCTCTTTCCCTCACCCAGAAACACTAATCTAACGTCCTGCTCCTCCTCTCTCTTGTGCCCTTCTCCTCTTACCCCTTCCTTTCCTCGCTTCTTCGTCCCGCAACCCTTCCCCTCCCTTTCTGCTCCTCTCCTCCCCCTTACTTCCTTTCCCTCCTTCCGCTGTCCCAGCTTATGGAAGCCCCCAGCCCCTTGGCCCTTCGCTGCCCCTTCCCCCGCGCAACATCGCCCCATCCTTATCTCCTCCACCCTGGCCCTGGCCGCTGAGCTCAGGGACTCCCAGTGGATGACCTAATGCAGTGGACCAAGGACACAGGCTGTCCACTGCCCCCACCCCAGCGTGGAGTTCTGTGAAGTGGACTTGTGCGTGCGTGTGTGTGTGTGTGTGTGTGTGTGTGTAAGGATGGAGCATTCTAAATAGGAGGGGGAGAAAGCGGACTGCTTCCAGGACGCTGGTGAGAGCCCTCTTTACTCTGGCCTAGGTTCTCCCCTCCCACCCCAGCGAAAGCTGACCAGCGGTCCTCCTTCCTCCCTGCCCTTCCTCCAGCCGCGACCCTGGGGCCTGGCTCACACACAAGGCTGTGACCTGGACGAGACTGCCCCTCGATGGGAAGGTGACAGAGCTGCTTGAAATGACACCGTGTAAACGCATAGACGAGACACCCAAGAAAGGCGGTTCTTAGTTGTTAAGTAATCAAAATAAATCCCGAGTGCAAACCCAAAGGGTCAAGTAGTATGTGTAATAAAGTGTAGAATTCTTGCCAAGCAAAAACCAAAAGGAGACGAATGAATCCATCCATGCAAGGGTGAATGGGTAGGTGGCTGGGCCATCACTACAGACAAGTAGGAGCTGGTGTCGCTGCAAATAAAATGACAAAACAAACTCCAGCTTGGAGCGGCTGTTGGGCTTCTTCCCACCCTGCTGTGTAAAGGTAAGGGGCAACCTGGCACAGAAAGGCACAGACGCTCCATTGCCCACACCGCTGGTCAGCCTGCATTTGGGAAAGGATCAAAGAAAGACCTGTGAATAAAGGAGCCCCCAAGAGTGTCAGAAGCGGACCGGGCAGCTCCAAGGGTGAGCCCAGAACAGCAAAGGTCTTTCCAACCAGAAGGCTTCCGAGATGGATATATTCAAATACGTATGAAACCAGCTTCAAGAAGAAAAATGACTACCACACACAAAGAGTGGGAAGAAAGGCGGCAGCCATGAGACATATTGGCTGTTCAGATCACAAAGAATCAGCATCGATGGCACAAGGAGAGGACAGCCGCACCAAAGAAAACCAGCGCAGATGTGACCGGGTGGATCTGACAGCTTGAGACCACGAGAAGATGCCCAGCCTCAGCCCGAGAAGGGAGATGCAAACACAGCAAGACTGGGAAGCCTCGAAAACAACATAGCAGGTCAGAGCAGATAAAAAAGCTGGACAGGTGTCCTTTGCAACTGGGTCTATGCGATTGGTGGTTAACCTGTGGCACGGGTACCACAGTGGACTATCTGTCATTGGCAGCTCTGAAAGGTTTGCCATAGCTGGACTACACAGCCCAGTCCCTCACCTTCCATATGGAGGCAATGGGCACATTTTCAAATCGTTATGGCCGCAACCAGGTCCCTAACTAGGCCCTGGGATGCCGGGTGCTCTGTCCCATGCTCCGGGATTCTAATGTAATTAAACCAAGGCGCATCCCATCGTTCACTAGTGTTTAGCACCCTGGTGCACCCTATGGTGTTTAGAGTCTCATGGGTGACTCTCCTTACAGCTAGGACTGAGAGCCATGGCTGTAGGTCTCCCTTCACACAAGCAAAATACACTCAAGGTCATTTGTCGCCTTTTTCTAGTAGCAGAAGGTTAGGAATAACCTGAGTGCCCATCAGGAGGGGACTGCATAAATGGAGTGATATCGAACCCCACGGAGCCTTGTGCCCATGCTCAAAGCAGAAAGATAAGGACCCTTTCTAAGTGACGCTGCCTTGCCTGCCTCTATGTCTTGAAGTGATATGAAACATTTCCCCTTCCTGATCCTTTTGGCTTTGGGGAAAAGCCCTAATTTGCACCGTACCAGATCTAGGGAAAAGGAGGCAGCAGGGCAGTGCGTGCTTATGAGCCTGCCTTTCTGTTGGATGGTGCTCACTGCATTTTAAAAGTTTTATTTATTATTAGGGGCTGGAGATACAGCTCAGTGGCATAAGTGCCTGCCTGGCAAGTGCAAGGGCCTGAGTTCAATCCCCAGTACAAAAAAAGAAAAGAAAAAAGTTTTAATTATTATTATCATTATTATTGTTATTATTGTCTTTTTGAGACAGGGTTTCCCTATGCAGTTCAGGCTGACCTTCGACTCACTTTGTAGTTCAGGTTGGCCTCAACTCACGGCATCCTCCTGCCTGAGCCTCTGGAATGCTGGGGTACATGCACGTGGCACCCCACCCTATCTCACTCCTTGTAGGGACATGAAGGAGGACTTTTAGAGCCATTTCAGAAAGTGGCCAGAAGATTGGGGTGTTCCAAGGAGGGGAAGGATATTGAGGGGCATCAATGCACTATGCCTTTTACTACAATTTTTAATTTAAACGTTCACAAGGGCTGGGGAGCTAGCTCAGCGACTTAGGTGGCAAGTGCAAGGTTCTGCGTTCAATCCCCAGTACCAAATAAAGTAAAATGAACACCCACAGCATTTTTCTACCACCCCTTGCATGCAAGTGTGGAAAATTCTATAAAATACCGTGAATTTTATAAAATACCGTGAAGCTTGCACAACATAGTGTTTAGCGCCACGCTGCGGTGGGGCAGGGCAGTCCGGTGCGGAGA